CGGCCCCCTTCCCCCTCCTCCTATAAATAGAGGGGCGAGGGGAGGGCCGCAGCAACATACCTAATTAAGGCGCAGTCCCTCCCCTCCCCAACACCTCTCCTCCTCCGTAAGAGCTTGGCAAAGCCCTGCCGGAGTACTGCCTCTCCATCACCACCACGCCGTCGTGCTGCTGTTGGAGCTCCTCTTCCTCAACCTCTCCCTCCGCCTTGCTGCATCAAGGCGCGTGGGACATCACCGGGCTGTACGTGTGTTGAACGCAGAGGTGTCGTTGTTCGGTGCTAAGATCGGAGTCCACCACAACCTGAATCGCTTCGAGTACGAATCCCTCATCCAGGTTCTTGTAATGCTTCCATCTAGCGGTCTTCAAGGGTATGAAGATGCACTCCTCTCTCTTTCGTTGCTAGTTGCTCCATAGATTGATCTTGGTGATGCGTAGAAAATTTTTATTTTCTGCAACGATCTCCAACACTCACGTCCTCACCGCGATCTCAAGGCTCGGCGCGTCAAAAACGAAGAACGAGAGACACAAGATTTATACTCGTTCGGGCCACCAATGCGGTGTAATACCCTACTCAAGTGTGGTGTGGTGTGCTGAGGATGAACTAGTACAGTGGATGAACAGCCTCCGGAGGAGAGGTGTTCTTGGGCTCGATGAGCTGGTGAGTGCGAGGGTGATCTCAACGATCCGTGATCAGTTGCCTCCTACTGTGGTGGCTAGTCCTATTTATAGAGGCCCTGGTCCTCTTCCCAAATATTAGGCGGGAAGGGATCCCACAACGGCCAAATTCGAAGGGAGACAACCAGTACAAGTTATCCTGACTAAAGGTGGTCTTTGCCTGCCAAAGGCTCTGGTGGTGACACCGTCTTGAGCTCCACGGTGACCTCCGTCCGGCCGTCCTTCTGGTCTTGGTCTTGTTGCACCGATATGGAAACCTTTGCTTGATGCCTCGGGACTCCTCGCTTGCGCTTGCCTCTTTAGCACCAAAGGGGAAACAAGGACACTACACGCTGGCGCCCGCCTGGCCTTGGTCTTCATGGCTTGCGCCACAGGAACCTCGCGAGGTGCCCCTCGCCTTGATGTCTCCGCCCCTCACGAGCCAGCCTGGTGAGGCCTCCCCAGAGGAGGTCTTGCGTCGTCCGCCTCGCTTGGCCCCTCGCGAGGGTCTTGAGCATTGGCTGATGAAGATGGGCCGTACCAGACCGCTGGTGGAGCCACGCCATGGACCGTAGGCAGGCAAGTCTGGGGACCCCCGTTCCCAGGATGCCGACATCAGCCGCGTTCGTTCGCTGGTTGTGCGCTCACTGTAGTTTTTCTTTGCTTCTTTTTTCCTGTTGTTTTTTGTTTCCTCTCCAGTTTTCACGGTTTCTTCACCGGTTCTCTCCCGTTTTCTGTTTTGCTTTGTTTTTCATCGGAGTTCTTCATTTTTCACGGTTTTCATTGGTTTTTTCTTTATTTTTGCTTAGTTTCTTTGCGGGTTTTCACTGGTTTTATTTGCTTTTCTCACCGGTTCTCTCCCGTTTTCTGTTTTGCTTTGTTTTTCATCGAAGTTCTTCATTTTTTCATGGTTTTCACTAGTTTTTTCTTTCTTTTTTGCTTAGTTTCTTTGCGGGTTTTCACTGGGTTTTTTTGCTTTTCTTTCTTTGTTTGTTTCCTTCTTGTTTATCATTGGTATTTTTATGTTTGTTTATTTCTTCCATTTCTTTGGTTTTCATCATCTTTCTTCAGTTTTCTTTTTTATTCTTCAACACATGTCTACATTTTTCGTACATATTTGTATATGTTTTGTGTACATCAGCAACATTTTGTGTATACATATTTAACATTTTTAAATACATGATTAATATTTTAGAAAAAAAATTGTTTGATTACTACTTTTTCATACAAATTTTACATTTTTTATATATTAGGAACATTTTTAATACATGTTTAATTTTTTTCAAATATATGATTAACATTTTTTTTACCTATCAACATTTTATATAAATTTATGTTCTCATGTTTCATTTTTTAAATACATGTTCCATATTTTATGTTTACGTCTGGAATATTTTCTTAGACACATTTAACATTTTTAGATACATTATTAACATTTCTATACATGATCAATAATTTACTATATTTATGTTTTTATGTTCAGTTTTTTAATTCACGTTGTACATTTTTGTATACATCTGATACATTTTATACACATTTCACATTTTGCAAATACATGTTTAACAGTTTATTTACATGATGAACATTTTATAAAATTTATATTTATATGTTCAATTTTTTAATACATGCTGTACATTTTTTGTATACGTCTGAACTTTTTTTATACACATTTGTCGTTTTGTAAATACATGATTAACATTTTTATATGTATGTTTTGATACCTAGTTTTTTGTCATACACGTTGTACATTTTTCATATACATTAGATACAAACTTATACATATTTAACATTTTTGAAATGCATGATTAGCATTTTTCGAACATTTGCTCTCAACATTTTTTGAAAGATGCACCAACATTTTTCAACACAACATAAACTTGTCTTCAAACTTAAGTATTTTTAAACATATTTTTTATATTTTTTGTAAAATAAAACCAAAAGGAAAAAAGTAAAAGAGAAAGAAAAAGCAAAAGAATTTTTTTTCGAAAGGACTAATAAGGAAACAAATGAACAAAATCCAAAACGCACGAAAAGTGCAACTGGGCCAGCCCATTCCTCGGCCACCTTGACCACAGATACGCACTTGCCGTTGCAAACTGGCAACTCCCATCGGAATTTTTTTTAAAACCTAGATCTTTAAATGACCAAAAGAAAACTTTAGCTTATAGTCAAATTTTAATACTGTCTTTTTTATGTACATCATGACAAATCTTTTTTTTTTACAAATTTTTAATTTTCTATGTAAAAGGGGGAGTTGGGCCGAGAGGCTGGCAGAGGGCCTAGTTGGAGTGGGGTTCGTGCGGGGAAGGTTTCCCAACGAACTAAAATGTTTGTGAGGGGATTCATCGTAGAGAACCAAACATTCACAGTGACCTCCCCATGGCGTCTGTCAGCCAGCTCCAAATAAAATTTGACTCCACTATAAATCTGACGTAAGATTTTGACCATGACAAATCAAACTTTTTTCATGGCAAAGTATCTTCTCCGACGATGGCAAGTTTAGTTGTCGAGCATGGCAAATCCGCCTCAGTTCAAATTTTGTCAAAAATTTGCCGTGCTTGCAAACTAAATTTGCCATCTTGAGCCAATATAAATTTCGATGAAAACAAACTCACTAGCGACCTCAGCCCACATAAAAGGAAGAAACTCTAAGGCCCATAAAAGGCCGAAACCTCAGCCCAATAGAGTCCACATACCGCTCACTAGCGACCTTCACCCGATATACGCACTCGCCGTTTCAAACTTGCAAATCCCATCAGAAATATCTTCCTCGCCGCCGGCGCTGTCGCCGCCGCCGCCATGCTCCATCTCCGGCAGCGCATCCTTTCCCCAATCATCTCCTCCTCCGCCACCTCTGCCGTCTCCTCCTCCACCACCTCTGCCATCTCCACACTCCGCCGCCTCCTCTGCGCAGCCGCAGCCGCCGCCCCCGTTTCCCCGAACCCCAGTGGATTCGCCGTCGAGGACTACCTCGTCGGCACCTGCGGCCTCACCCAATCCCAAGCCATCAAGGCCGCCACGAAGCTCTCCCACCTCAAGTCCCCCGCGAAACCCAACGCCGTCCTCGCCTTCCTCTCCGGCCTCGGCCTCTCCCGCGCCGATGCCGCCACCGTCGTCGCCAAAGACCCGCTTTTCCTCTGCGCCGGCGTGGAGAGAACCTTGGTCCCCGTCGTCGACGGCCTCACCGGCCTCGGCCTCTCGCGTTCCGAGATTGGCGGCCTCGTCTCGCTTGTCCACTGCCGCTTCCGCTGCAGAGCCATCGTCCCTAAGCTGCGCTACTACCCGCCCCTCTTCGGCTCATTCGAGAACTTACGCCGGCTGCTCAAGCATGAATCCCACCTTCTCTCGAGCGACCTTGACAAGGTGCTGAAGCCCAATGTTGTGCTCCTGCAGGAGTGCGGGTTAGGTGGTTGTGATATTGCCAAGCTGTGTACCGGTGCGCCGAGGGTGCTGGCAACCAACCCGGAGCGCGTCCGGGCGATGGCGGCATCTGCTGAAAGATTAGGTGTGCGCCGTGGCTCCGGTATGTTCAGGGAAGCGCTGCAGGCTGTCTCATTCCTCAGTGAGGAGAAGGTCGCCGACAAGGTGGATTATTTGAAGAAGACGTTCAAGTGGTCTGATACTGAGGTGGCCATTGCTCTGTCTAAGGCTCCAATGTTGCTGAAGAAGTCTAGAGAGATGCTTAGGCGCAGTCTGAGTTCCTGATATCTGAAGTGGGGTTGGAACCGGTGTATATTGCTCATCGGCCCGTCATAATCTATTATAGCCTGGAGGGCCGGCTCATGCCTCGGTATTACGTTGTAAAGTTTCTCCAGGAAAATAGATTGGTGGATCGCAACCTGAGCTACTATACCGTGGTTAAGAGGGCCGAGAAGGATTTCGTGGAGAAGTACATATGCCCTCACAAGGAAGCTGCACCACACCTCGCTGAAGACTATGCAACTGCTTGCAAAGGGGAAGTGCCAACTAATTTCAGATTTACTTGAACCGAAAACGGGCCAAGGAAATTGGTTACTGTGTATGGCGCAACAAAGTTTTCACTCTGTCTGATAAGCTGGGTACTTCCTTGTTTTGGTGTTGTTTGCCAGACTACATGTTGGCTGTTTTTTCTAGTATGCTGTTACATGCCAGTTTGGTCATTTCTAAGTGCTAAATCCTATGAAACTGTTAATTTTATTTCTGAACTCTGATATATTGATATTGTCATTCCTTAGAGAAGATCTATGTGTTTTCCGGGTAATTTTATTCCTGAACCCTAAAGTCTAATTATATTTTCCTGAATCATGGTTGTGCAAAATATGTGTTGTCAGTTTCATTCTCTCATGTGTTCAGATTTTAGGACTGGGATTTGCCTGCACTTTGAGAATTGCTCCTCAATTTATCTGGTAGATATTCTTTTGTTAGTAAGAAGTCCATCTATTCTAATGTGATTAAGATACATTTCTTCCGGTCACTGGTTGTTTTGGTTACTGAAATCTGCACCTGCTTCTGTTTGTATCATTGCTTCATGTCATTAGTTAAATTCACGCCTTACAGTTAGCTGTTCATAGCTGCAGAATTGTAGGGGGTTCCATCCAATTGTTTGTAAACTATACTGGAGCAATATCATGTGAACACAATTTGCGCCCTGGTTATATTTTGCCTCTCTTTATGCGGGCCTGTTTTCTGCTTGCCATCATGTTTACGCATTCTTCATCACTGCTCCTTTATATTGGCAAGCTTGTGTTTTGGTTGTCAGATTGCGGCTGTTTGTGATCTGGTAACTGATTTCCATGGTGTTGCTTAATTTGCCCCTTGTATTTTCAGTTGTTTCCAGGCAGGTTAGTCGGGAGTACATACTTATACAAATAAAAATACTGTTTTAAATGCTGCCACAGGAAAGTTGCTGCGTAAGTAATCGTCACAGGAGATTTGAAGAGCATAGTTTTTCTATTTGCAAGATCTTACTTAGATGTGGACCTGGAGATAGATATCCTTGGGCACGAACTTGGAGAGTGCCTTAACTTAAATACGCATGATTTAGTGAGTTCGGCGATCTTACTTTTCATCTGAATTTTAATTGGTGGTGTCAATATTTGAAGCTAGGCTCCGGCTTACTCAAATGTGGTAGCGAGGATCGGTGATCCTTTACATACCATACATATTTCTTAATTTGGTGTAACTTGTAGTAGAATACAACACATTCTCTATAAGTTATTAATGGCGATAATTTTATTGGTTCTGTGACTTGATTCCTATTTAGATTGCAGCCTCCTTGCATAGCAGAGCATAACATGGTTCCTAATATTCAGTTCTAACTAGCTGACATTTTTAGGACACTGCCGTTGATATTTTTCTAATGTAATGCCTAAGATGCACTTTCCTGAACTATTTTAGGACAATGGCTGTTGTTGATATATTTTTCGTTCTTAACCCCAAAATGATAGATGCATACACTGTTCCAAGCTTTTACTAGGATATATGAGCTGTTGTTGATATTCCTGAGAAGGTTTTGCTAATTTCAAGGTGAAATCGAGATTGTTACTATCTCTTAAGCTGCATGTAACATTTTTTTTCCATCTGTCTCTGTTTGTTTGGGAAGCAGAAATTAACTCCTTTGAGCTTTGGATTAGTTGAGTTGGGAGCTCCATGTACCAGTTTATGTCTGATGTGATCGTCTCCGGTCCCTACTCTTAAAGTTTTGATTTGAATCCATGTGTTCCACCCCTGCAGCGACCATCAGACCTCACCAGCAAATTAATTATCGCTGGTGATGATTCGGTTCTGATAGACGGTGCTGCAAGTGATTGAAGTTGTTGCCATTTACATATTCTGTTGCTTCCTAGTCGCAGCATGTGCATATTCTGTTGCCATTGTAATTAAACACGTTGAGAAATATACAACTATAAATACACATACTGTTCGAGATACAGGCAAGTTTTACTAAGACAAAACATTTCCAAATTCTACACGTGATGACAAATAAATTAATTAACCGGCTAGCAAGGTGACTGAGACAGATGGATGTCTTGGGTGCACCCATGCGGCTTTCTTGAAGGCAGACTCAACATCGGCGCTTATGTGTTGCCGATTTTCGCCTGACACACAGCTGGTGTGTTTGAGCCACACACGGATGTCCCTGAGCCAGGTCAGAAACTCCATGCCGACTTTCCAGCCGAATCGCAGAATGAGCGTTTGTAGCATGGGCATACCTCCTGCCTCGAAGCTTAGGTACGAGGTGACATCTTCATCAGACCGGATCGTAAAGTACTCCAGAATTGGGAATTACCGCGTGCCGACCACGACCTTGTCTTAGGAGACCTTCAACATGTCGAACCAGATGGACGGAAGCTCTCCAAGAACGCAAAACTTGTCACTCAACAGGTGCAAGACTTGAAGAGAGAGGACCCGTAGGCAATGTAGTTCACCAATCCATTTCGGAGCTATACTGAACTCCCACATTGCCAGATCGAGTACCTCGAGACGGGGAGGAGGATCGGGTAGTGATCCAGTTGTGGTACATCTAAGCGAGTTGTGGCCCAATATCTCTCCTCCCACTGGGTTTTCTGTGGTTTCTCTTTCACCATTTTTTGTTTGGTTTTGTCAGGGGTTTTTGTTTCATCTTAAAAAAAATTCTTCTTTTCCTTTTTAAAATATTCCATGGTTTTTTTTTCAATTTCCTAAACATTTTTGGAAATCGCAAACTGTTTCAAAATCATGAGCTTATTTTTTATTTTTTGTTAACAATTTCAAATCTGCAAGTTTTTTCAAATTCATGAAGAATTTTTAAGTCCATGAACATTTAAAAATTCATAGAATTTATACAAATTCATGAAAGTTTTCCAAATTTGTGAACATTTTAATATATTTTGATTTTCTTTTTCAAATTAGTGAACATTTTCTAAATTAGCAAAAAAAATCGTATTTTTGAACTTTTCCAAAATTCATGAAGATTTTCTCCAATTCATGAACTTTTTAAAATTCACAAACTGTTTTGCATGTTGGTGATCTTTTTCCAAATTCATGACTTTTTTAAATCTCTTTTTTAGAAAACTTTCTAAATTAGCAAAAAAAAATCGTATTTTTGAACTTTTCCAAAATTCATGAAGATTTTCTCCAATTCATGAACTTTTTAAAATTCACAAACTGTTTTTCATGTTGGTGATCTTTTTCCAACTTCATGACTTTTTAAATCTCTTTTTTAGAAAACTTTCTAAATTAGCAAAAAAAATCGTATTTTTGAACTTTTCCAAAATTCATGAAGATTTTCTCCAATTCATGAACTTTTTAAAATTCACAAACTGTTTTTCATGTTGGTGATCTTTTTCCAAATTCATGACTTTTTTAAATCTCTTTTTTAGAAAACCAGGTGTCTGTTAAGCTGATGGATCTCTTGGGTGCACCCGTGCGGCTTTCTTGAAGGGAGACTCGACATTGGCGTTTATGTGTTACCGATTGCCTGACCCATGTCGGTGTGTTAGAGCCACACTCGGATGTCCCTGCGGCAGGTCAGAAACTCCATGCCGACCGGCGTAGAACCTCTCCACTCTTTTCAGCCGAATCACAGAACGAGCGTTTGTAGCATGGGCATATCTCCTGCCTCGAAGCTCAGGTACGTGGTGACATCTTCATCAGACCGGATCGCAAAGTACTTCAGAACAAGGAATAACCGCGTGCCGACCACAACCTTGTCTTGGGAGACCTTCGACACGTGGAGCCAGGCATGGACGAGGAACGAAAGTTCTCCAAGAACACAAACCTCGTCATTCGACAGGTGCAAGACGTTAAGAGAGAGAACCCGTAGGAAATGTAGTTCACCAATCCATTTCGGAACTCTACCAAACTCCCACATTGACAGATCGAGTACCTCGAGATCGGGAGGAGGATCAGGTAATGACTCCAGCTACCTGCCATTACCATCCCATTCAAGATGACATTTGAGGGAGAGGCTCCTTAGGCCTCCGAGCATTCCAACGGAGGAGACCAAAGCATCCACTTGTTCTATTGTCAAGCATTGGCGGTAAAGCATCCTCAAGGTCAATTCCTTCGGATTGGTCAGCTCGCTAAGGCCTATTATATTCTCTAGCGCACTATCCGAGATGCCCGAACAATGCAGGGTGCCGATTGATTTCATAGTCTGGATTCCTTCAGGCAGCACAGTGCCATACGGTAGTACCAAGTGAAACAAGTTGATCAAGCCAGTTATATCTGATGGGAAGCTTTGTGTGGGATTGCACTGTAAATCTAGAGAGCAAGCCCTTGAATTTCAGCTGGGAGTGCTATGCCAGCTGATATGGCTGAAACCTTCAGCCTCGGTAAAAACAAACGAACAATTGCAGTGAGGTAAACTATTGTATCCCATTGATATGGAAACTCAAACAAATGCACCCGTAGATACTTAAACTGTGAAAGAGGGGGGAGGGGGTGCATGGACTCTCCAAACCGTGCATACACTACAAAAAAAAGACACATCCGTGACATTTTGGGCCGAACAATTTTTTTTGTCATACTTATGACACTTCTATGATGATAATTGTGACAAAACCCGGTATCATCATAGATGTGGTGGGCTCCTACTTCTATGACAAAAAATCATGATAGAAAATGGGCTTTTCGTCCTGGGCAGGCCGGAGACGCAGCTGCATGACATTCTTTGGGCCGTCCATGACGGAAAAAACCGTGGTAGAAGCGAGGGCAAGGAAAATTTCGAGGAGTTCCCGGTTACGGTGGGTGGTCGGGGGCTGAGCGATGCGTTTTTTTCTCGTACACGTGCGCGCGTGTGTGCGAGGCGTTGGGCTCTAACTGAACCCGAGCGATTGCACTGCAGGCTACACATTACTGAACCCGAGCGATCGAGCGATTCCTTCGCTACTGCTAACTGAAGCCGATCGATGCTGCCTCTAGATGAACAGTGAGCGTTGCCGGGGGGTGGATGAATAGTGAGCGGTGGGGGTGGATGAATAGGACCCCGTGGCATTGCCTCTGGATGAATAGGACCCCGATCAAT